TATTTTTATTTTTTGATACAAAATATGAATGATAATTTAATTTATATAATATGATATATGAATTTCATTGCCCAATAGAATTGAGACACATGTCCCATTTAAAAAAAATCCATACCTACTTACCCCACGCACTTTTGGAGAAGGTGTATTTCACTAAAGGCCCTGGCACACCTAGCAAGGTGTGCCAGGGCACACCTAAGTATTTGCGGATGAGTGATGGCTATGGCTTTCTATTCTTCATACCTTCATCGTCTTCTTGCCGGCCTTCCTCATCTCCCCAACTTCCCCCTCCGACCTTTGGGCAGCCAGTGTTGGGTCACCGCCCTAGTCTCCTCTCCCCTCCGTGCTTTCTTGTGTCGGGATCCGCGCTGGGGTTCTGCCTTCGACAGGCGGGTCGGTCTCCGATTGTGTTTAGGGGCCAGCGGATGGTGGGATTAGCTGTTGTGTGTTGTGCCGGGCTGACGCTCTCGTACCTCCTCCTCTCAGTGCCTTCCCTGTGACGGGGATGGTGCCTCCTCGGCCGGGTTTCCGCAACCGGCATACGGGCTAATCTCGATTTTAGGGGTGGGTGGACGGCGGACTTCGATCGTCGAGAGCCGTTTGGCGGTGGTCGTTTGCACTGAAGGCTTGATCGGGTTCGAGGATCTAAGATTTGGCTAGCCATAGTTGTTTTTGGAGTTTCTGAGTGTGGAGTTTCTGAATTTATTTTCTTGGTAGGGGTTGATCTTTTCTTTGTAGACAAGTTGCAGCGGTGGTGAAGCTTGGCGGTGGCCGGAGAGGGCTTTACTGTGTCGATTAGGTGTGTGTTGTAGGTGTTTTGTTGGTTTTTTCTTCCAGTTTTTTTGGTTTAAGTACAACTGTGTCTGACTTTAGTCCGTTAGAAGTTGTTTTGTCTCATTTTTGGAGTTCTTTTGTTTTGTAGGTGTTTGTATTTCCTTGGTTGACTGTGTAATTCCAAAGGAAGTTGGATTCAGTAGTTGTGTTGATTTTTGTGGTGTACGTGGACTCGTTGATGTACTCTTTTTGAGTTTTTTTGGTTTTAATATAATTATCCTTTGAAAAAAAAATGTTTACTTTGGCAAAATTGTAGTTAATATTGATTATTTTGGGAAAATATTGTTTGGATCATTGGAAAAAAATGGTTTGAATGAAAAAAGTGAAGTAAAAGAGAACTTTTCTTTAAGGTGGAATAAAGTGATTTTCTAATTGTGAATTAATATTTAAAAATATAATAATAAAGTAGATGCAATAGAAAAGAATTAAAATAAACAAATACAAATAAGTATTAAAAAATATGCAAAAGAATAATATAAAATTGTTTTAAAATATATATAGTAATTTTAATTTTAATTATATCATAGAGTTAAGGAAGCGAAAGTAGAATTAGATAATTAGTGAGATTAGATGATTAATGATTTTTTAAAAGAAAATATAAATATAAATATATATATATATATACATATTATCAGCCGTAATTTCCAGACTAGAAAACAACTAATCCAATCTAATAAACTAACTAACCAGCTGAATTTAGATGGGAGAACTACACGAAGTATAACAAAAAACCAGCCAAACAACAAACAAAACACATAACACAAAGAACTACAAATAAACTCCCACAAGTGGAGAATGAGAAGCTCCCAAACTGGAGAATAATAAAGACCAACTAAGAAAAACAAAGACCTTAAAAAAAATAAGAACAACCTAATACAACTTAAACTAACGCCTTTTCCACCCGACAAGAACACCCATCACCATCACAACCCAAGCAAACACCCAAACACGAAAACCGAGAAGAAGCCACGAGAACTACAACCCAACACAACGAAAGAACCAGACCGCAAAACCAACAACCACCACCAAATCGCTTACCTACCTAGGCAGACTCACTCCACAGTCTTCCCACGCATACACCGGAGCAGCGACGCTACCACGCTACCGCAGCCGAAGGACCGCACCATCCCAACACCCGAGAAGGCCGGAGGAGGGAGAACCAAGGCTAGACCACCACCACAGACCGCCACTAGGACGACCGCAACGTCTACCGAAACACTGCCGTCGGCAATTTCCGCCTCTCCTCGCCCTCCATGGCACTCTGGAAACGAGCAGGACTACTTTGGGGACGAGCGGGACTACTTTGGGGAGAAAGAAACGCAAGACCGCCACAGCCTCGCTGCCGAGCCCAGGGCAAGCCAGATGAACAATGTGATTACAAGGGCTAGGGCCACCGAAGGTGAGGACTCCCAAGGAAGAAATACAGCTAGGGCACGCAGGAATCAAATTGGGGATTCGAAGAGAGAAATTCGCCATGTCTATTACCTATACGTCTTTCAAATGATGAAAATGGTAATTTATATCTCTCAAATGTAAAAAAGTTGAAATTCTTCTGGTGCAAACAACAGTCAAAACAGCAGTTCCAAGTGCACAATTTATTCCCTTTTTCATTTTTTTCCCCTTCCCTGAAACAAAGCCAGACACCAAGAAATCCAGAAACAACCCAGTATTTTTTTCAAAAGGAAAAGAAGTGATTTCTTTTTTTTTTTAGTATTTTCTGTGAGCTAGCTCCTTAACAGCCTCGGCAAGATTTTTCTCGCTCTGAATGCTTCTAACCCAAGCCGCATTTATGTGGACCCTCTCGATACTCTGTTTCAATGTCCTCGCAATGGAAGGCTTTATACGGCTATCGAAAAACTGCTCTACTTCCTCAGCCTTCTCATTTGAAGTGAACTGCAACAGAATCAAAATAACGAATAAATATATCAATGTAATAATATATTCGTCGTGTTTAAAAACTCATATATGAACTTGAAAGTTGAAAGTACTAAGAAAGAGGAAGACTAACCGGAGACACAACAGCAGAAATAAAGCGTGCTATCAGAAATCCAGATCCATAAGTCTTCGAGATATTGTCCCAATTTTCCTGCAATAAGCATTAAGCACAACCAATCAGAATTACTGTTCACAAATATTCCGCTGTTGTTTTTAAGAAAAGGAGGAATTTCGGAGTAGACAGATTTTTATTTTTTTATTTTTTCACAAAAGCATATCATTTCAACCAAAACTGTATGCAGGATACATATAAAATAAACTGTTGAAATAAATTCAACCATTTTAGCAAGCGAACAAGGAGGTCTTAAATCCATGGACATCTACTATATGGACTTACTTTCAACCAATTCCATGTAGTTTCACGAGCTTCCCTACTAACACTCAATCCAATTACAGCATCTTGGCTCCTAACCTACATTATAACAAAGCCGGAAAAAAAAAAA